TAGGTTGCCCCCCTGCAAACGCCCCCAGGGGGGGGGGGGGAGTCTGTGCCTTACGAGCTCTAATTCTGGGTGGAATCGGAGTGGGGGGGGAGCTCGCTTCTTGACCCACGGCTGGAGGCCGCAGTGGAGAATCCTTGGCTGCCAATCGGGCTGGTGCTCAAGGGCGTGGGGGGAGGATCGGTGGAGAAGAGGGGGTGGGCGGTCCGAGGCGAGGAGGGCTGCCTTGATTTCTGTCCCTTGCGCCCCCCCCCCCCCCGGACGGGGGGGGGGGCACGTTGCCTCGTGGGCCAGTTCTGGGGCTCCGTTCTGCCAGGGTTGGGAGCCCTTTGAGTTGCTTACACGTCCCCAGACTCCGCAGCGTTCGTGGCCTTCCAGTGGCACGCTTCCTCTGGGTGGCACCTCATGTCCACGCTTAGCCTTGAGGCTGGGGCGATGTCCCAGGCGCTGACGGGGGGCCTCTTGTACCATCGGGAAGGCAGCATTCCACGCACCCCTGGTGCCAGAGGCCCTTTCCCGCTGGCCAGGAGAGAGGAGTTGGGCTCTGCAGACCCAACGCACGAGGCCAGAGTCCTCTTGGGAGCTGGGAAAGGTGTGCCTCGAGCAGCCGAAGCTCGGCCGCTTGGGGCTGAAGCGGCTCCCCGGGTGAGTCAGGAAGGAACATCGGTCAGCTCTGGCACCGGGAGTGATTTCTGGAGGCCACGCCTTTGGCACCAAAGCAAAGCATGTCCGGGCTGTTCCGGTCCTTGCGGCTGGGCTGAAGGTCTGAGCAGTGTGTGGCCGAGTCTCGCAGGGGCAGCGGGAAAGCCAGCTTCTGGCCGGCCGGGGAGCCAGACAGCCGGCCGTGCCACTGTTGGCTGAGCCAGTGGAGGCTCTGCTGGGGCATGGCGGGGAGGCTTTGATTCCTCCGCCCTTGGCACCCCTTTCTGGAGGGAGCCGAGCAGCTCGGGCTCTGCAGCCGCAGCTGCCCACGGGGAGACAAAAGCGGTAGGGGGAAGAGGGGGGGGCGTAGGAGCTTTTGGGGGCCGCAGTGGGTGGTTGGGCTCTCCTGCCTGCTCCGGGGAAGCCCGCTTGGTGCTTCTAACGAGGCCTCCCGGCTGTGTCCTCCTCCTGGCTGCAGGCAGACACACCAATCGGCTATTTTGACAAGGGCAGGAGAGGGGGGGGGGCGGCAGGGTCCTCTTGGCGCTTCTCCTGAGACCTCCCCAGTGATCATTCTGCTCAGACCTTTTTAGAGAGGAGTGAGGCTTTTTGGTCGGTGTTTGCACAGAGCAGAGAGGCTTGACATGCTCACCTAGGAGGCAGGGCGGTGGCGCTTGTGTACGCATGCCAGGGAGCGGTCTTCCTTCGGCGCCCGTGGGCCCAGCATCACAGGCTGGGCTACGGCAAAGGCTGCTTCTGAAAGGGTGCCCTGGAGCTCTCCCGGTCTTGGGCAGCCTCGGCCTCCTGACCCTGGGAACCCCCCCCCCCCGGGCTGGGGGGTGGTGCGTGTGCAGGCCGCTCAGAGCCGCGGGAAGGCCCTTCACCTTTGTATTGCTGGTGGGGCTGAAAGACACATGCCTTCCACTGAATCAGAGCCTTGGTCCATCCAGGTCAGTCTTGCCCACTCAGACGAGCAGTGGCTCTCTCTGTCAATCTCCAGGGTCTCAGGAGGAGCTCTTTCCCATCCCCTCTTGCCTGGTCCTTTGAACTGCTGCCAGGGACTGGGCGTGGGACCTTCAGCGTGCCAAGCAGGGGCTCTGCCACTGAGCCATGGCCCCTCCCCAAGGGGCTGGAGGCCGTCTGTCCATAGGCGGGGGGTGCTCGGGGCTCTGGCCTAGCTCTGGCCTGCCCGTAGTTCTCCGGTGGGAGCTGCTGAACTCCTCTGGCCCCAGAAGGCTGTGTAGGTGGAGCTGGGCGACTCCCCTTCTGGGACAAGGCGCCCCCAGTCTGCTCGTCCTTTGTGCCATCAGTTCCTCCCCCTTCGATAGGCCTGGAACAGCCCTAGGGGGCTGTGCACGTTCCCCTCTACCAGCTCCTGGGGAAGGGCTGGCCAGATAGGTTTCAACAGCTGCACCGTTGGGGAAAAGCTGCCCTGTCGGGGTGGGGGGGAGGGAAGGAGCCTCCAAGCTCGGTCTTCAGGAAGGGGAAGTTTGGAAGTGGCCATCTCCTGGCAGGCCGAGTTGCCATCACAGCTCCCCCCCCCAAAAAAAAGGTCTCTCCTGAGCCGTAGGCTGTGGTCAGGGGTCAGCTGAATTCACCGGGGACCACCGAGGGCAGGTGGCTGGCTTGTCCTGTGAGGTCCAGGTCAGACCCGTGGCTGTATTTCCTTGCTTCCCAAAGTTGCTGCCGTTTGCTGTCCGGAATATTGCTCCAAGGTACGCATCCCACACCGTGGCAACTGGAGATCCCACCCTGCCTTCTGGGACTGAGTGGGGGCAGGAGCGGCGATGCCCTGGGTGTCTCTGGGGAGGGCAGGTTCCACCGAAGAGCGCCATCCTCGGCGGCATGAAGCACATCAGGCTTCTCTTGGTGCCCCCGGCCAAGGGCCCCAGGTGCCCTGCGCTCCGGCCTCACCCACGTCCACTCCGCTCCCTCAAGGGTCGGCTTGCTGTGGGCGTTGACGGCTGCCTCCCCCTCCCTGCTGCTACCGCCAGTTAAACGTTTAAGAGGACCTCTGTGCCATTGGCCATCACACCTCCTTATGCTATGGCAACAAAGCCCATAAGCGACCGATTCATTGTCTGGTCTGTTTGTCCGGAATGCCCCGCCCACCAGTCTGACAAGATTTGCTTGATGCTCGGGTCTGAAAGACCCCCATTTGTGGACCTTGAGGGGGTTTGCAGAGGGTTTCTGTTGGGCAGTGCTTGGTGCACACACACACACCCGGGCACACACAGTTACTGAGTGGGGAGAGACTGGCACACCCACAGCTGCATTCCTCGTCTCTCGTGTCGGTGGAGAACTTTTCTGTCCCGTGGGCAGGAGTCCCGCCAGCCCTGCCCTGTGCCTGCGCCCCTCCCCCCCGCACCCCTCCATGAGCTGCCTCTGAAAAAAAAACCCCTGGAAAACTTCATCCCCCATTAACCCAGACTGGCCCCTTAGGGCTATTCCAGATGTATTATTAAAATTATAATTATTATGGTTTATTATTATTTTCTGAGCTATGTTGGTTTGCAATAAAGGCTTTCTTACAGTTTGGGGAGCGTTCTGCTTGATTGCCCCACGCTTGCCTCGTCCCAGAGTTCTGGCCTGGGGTGGGGGAGACTACCGTCTTGTAGCCCCAAAGGAGGGGTGGGGCAGGGAGTGGGAGGCGGCATCTTCCGTGGGTGGCACTGTGGTCCCACAGCAGCCCCTCAGTTGGCCGTTGGGGGGTGCTGCGGGGATTGAAAGGTGGGGAGTGCACAGCTGGGCGGGGGAAAACCCCATTGCTTAGCAGCCCCTCTGGTATCTTAGGAAAGAAGCTTTGACTGTTCAGGAGCCCCCGGGGAGACCGACAAGATTTCCCTGGGTGTGAACTTCCAGGAATCAAAGCTCCGATCTTGCTCTTCCACTGCAGATCAGCGCAGCCCCCCTTCTGGAACTACCTGCTGGTTTTGCAGCTGACGCCGGCTCCATTGTGCCTGAGATGTCTGGGAAGGGTGGTGGCCTGGTCTAGCCTGCTGTTGTGTGGATCTCTGTGCTGCATCCGCTTCCCCTCCAGCCTGACAAAGTGGAGCTCTCTGGTGCCATCCAATAACCTGGGCCTATTTAACTTTACCTGCTACTAGGATCGTGGTGGGTGGCCGCAGGAAAGAGCCGGAGTCCAGGAGCACCTGGGAGACTAGCAGAATTGGCAGCAAAGGAGGCGCTTTGGTGAGCCACATGGCTCACTTCAGCATCTGGAGAAGTGACTGCCAGGACTCTGGAAAGGTTTGTTGGTCTTTTAAGGTGCTCCTGGACCCTGGCTCTTTTTTTGACTTTCTACTGATTATGATATAGGGATTGGGGGGGGGGATTAACTGATTTTAGTCTGGGGTGTCTTCGGGTGCTGTTCCTCCAAGAACAGTCCCTGTCTGATCTCAGAAGCTCATAACCCTGAAGATCTTCTTGGCCCCCTAGAGGGTACCGGACTTGAATCCCACTGTTCCTCGATGAAGTTGATCAGCCAAGAGTTTGGAGGAAGGTGGAGGCGGCTCCTGGTGTCAAGACCCAGGAGGAGCCCTGATGCCGCTCGTCCAGGGGAGGAGGTGGAGGTGTGGCGGTGGGATCCTCTACGGCCTTGGCTCAGTGCGCTCCGTCGGCCCTTCATTCTCGGGAAGGAAGGGAGCAGAGAGATCTGCAGTCTTTGCTGCCGGCGCAAGGCAGCCCTCTGATGTGTGGACTGAAGTCCCCGTCTGCGGGGGGGGGGATCCAGATGTGCCCCTGTAGTCGGCTCACTCCCAGAGAGCACAGTTGTGTCTCCTTTTGCACACGGAGCCCATCCCAGTATAGGGCTACGGGTGGCGCTTCACATTTGGATCGCCCCTTGCAGAGGGATAGGAGCTGCGGTGGCTCAAGTGGTTAAGACGCTGAACTGCAGGCTGTGGAAGGTCGGTAGTTCAGCAGTTCAAGACCCGGGTGCTGCAAGACGGAGTGAGCTCCTGTCTCTGGTTCCAGCTCCTGCCAACCTAGCAGTTCGAAAGCAAGAAATTGCAAGTAGATAAATAGGGACCGCTTCGGTGGGAAGGTAACAGCATTCCATGCGCCTTGGTGTTTAGTCATGCCGGCCACATGATCACGGAAACGTCTTCGGACAGCGCTGGCTCTTCGGCTTTGAAACGGAGATGAACACCGCAATCCTAGAGTCGGACTCGATTGGCTTTCGAGCAAGGGAACCTTTTGCTTTACCTTTTTTGCAGAGGGATAAAATTTAGAACAAGAAAAACTAAGAAGGTGACTACATCAAGGCTACAGACATTCCCCTGTACTGCCCCACCCCGTTTCCTACAGTGGATGGGCGGGCAGAGCCCTGAGCTCCACGGCTGGCCTGGGGTCGGAACTCGGGCCTCCTGTGGCATTCTGGCCACTGCATCATAGTTCTTGTTACGGCAACTGTGCCTACGAAGGCCCTTTCGTACCTTTGGTACAGAACTAGCCAAGCCCCTCGTTTTGTAACAAAGCACATCTGCAAAGACCTGCGGCCCTATGAAAGGTTGGTGGGTCTCTGTTTCATTTTTGAGCAATTAAAATGTGAACATCTCATGGATTCTACTTTGAATTTGCCAGTGGATGTGACTGCCAGTTCACCTGCTAATGAGCTTTATAAAATAATCAAGGGCCGTATTTTGAAACCTGACGAGTTTCTTCTAGTGCACTAGGACTACATTTTCAGCATAAAATACCAAAATATGTATACACATGACCAGTCCCCAAGATAGGATGAGCCTTTCTGGTAGTCCAAGGGGACATCTTCTAGTGTCCCGGCCCCACTGCTGGACCTCCTGATGGCCCCTGGTGTTTCTGGCCACTGTGTGACACAGAGTGTGGGACTGGAGGGGCCACTGGCCTGATCCCACATTGGCTTCTCTTATGTTCTCTTATCTCGCCATCAGTGGTGTTAAGTGGGTGTTATTCAAGGATTCCCTATTCTGAAAGAATCTGTTCATGCCCTGCGGCACCTACTGTCTTTGACTGCCCACTGAGAGCTGAAGCTTGGAAGAACTTTCTTTTGCCTTTATTTCCTCTAATTCCGGAGTCTAGGATGACAGTCGAAGCGAAGGCTAGCCGGCGTCTTTCAGAGTCTGATTGCAACGTTCCCTCCTGTATGGCAACGTTTTTTGCAATCCCTGCATTGAAGGCAGTGTTCCCTGTAAGCTGAGTTAGTGTGAGCTAGCTCACAGTTTTTTAGCCTCTGGCTCACACATTTTTGTCTTAGTGCAGGGAGGACAGCTCCAGAGCAAACTAATTGATGCAGCAGCCAAATCGCTCGCTCACAGCTTTAATGCCAGGAGTTCACCAAGTAGAATGTTTGCTCACGAGACTCCACAGCCTAGAGGGAACATTGATCGAAGGTATCTTCGTTCTGTCCTGGTCCACGTGGCTTTTTAACAGTAGAAGTAGAGCAAGAGCCATTTAGAAGCAAGCAAACGCAGCAGGGGCTGAGGCCCCTTCCGGAGTGGCCAGCTGGGGTCCGAGAAGAGCGCCGCTCTCAGTGGCAGTGGCTGGTCTCCTCTCCTCCCGGTGCAGCAGAACTACAGTTCCCAGCGTGCAGTGCAGGAGTGTAAATCTTCAAAGGCTAACAAAAGAGCAGCCAGCTAACCTGACAGGCGGAGAGGAAGGGCAGCAGCCGAGGAGAGAGATCAGCTGGCGGAGACCGGCGTGCCTCCTCGGGCCTCCCTCCCGTGCAGGGAGACTGCGGCAAACCATCCCCCCCCCCCACCAGCACCAGCACCCCCGTG